AATCAACTAGAGAGAGAGAGAGAGAGAGAGAGAGAGAGAGAGAGAGAGAGAGTAACTTGAAGTAGGGAATTGTTTGCATAGCTTGTCTTCCCAACTCCTCCATTCATGTGTAGGACTTGCTCTACCTCCATTTTTATGTTCTCAAATAATTCTCCTCTCTCTCTCTCTCTCTCTCGGTATCTATTCTGCTGGAAGACTCCCTCATATTTATAGCAAGACGCTTACCCAGCACAACTAACTTATTACTTTTTTACTTCGAAAGTATCAAAAATTCCAATTCACAACTACTAACTTGCACCAATAACTTTTAACGTTTTGAGGTGAAGGTGGAGAGGTGGGGGGATGAGTTGAAGCGGGTCGGGTTTCGGCAAGATGCTTACCCAACACAACATAACACAGCTTACGTGGGAAATGATTTGATTGACCAAGTGTACAAACAACCTAAGTACGTCATAACACAGCTTATTACGTGGGGCCCCATCAGTCACAAGCGTCAATTATATCCTAGGTGTCCTAAAAGTATTAAGATTCCTATGTAACTAACACATCTTTGGCACCATTAGGTGTACACCACAATTTTGAGATGTAATTGCAAATGGACAATTAAATCTTGCTTCTTTTTTTATACCAACGATATTAAGGGAGTGGAGATTTGAAAACGAAATCATGGGACCATGAAAATAATTGTTTTTTGATGATGTATTGTACACTACATGTCCATTATGTGAAACTCGTGTGGAGAGAGAGGGCCACCTATTTAAGCAGTTTCATCGTGTGTACCAACAATATTGAATAAATTGTGCAAAGTGGAAAATAAAATATAAGCTTTTTGTACCAACAATATTGAATAAATTGTGCAAAGTGGAAAATAAAATATAAGCTTTTTATCCAAGGTGTATCCTCATAACCATTCTTAAGACTTTACACCTATTCAGAGGCATAATCATGGTTAACATTTTACTTTGTATTTATGGAACTATGGTTATGCATATGGAAACGTGTCAAGTGTTGAAAAGGAGAAAAACTTCCTTGGCATGGGAATGCCAGGGTAAGCAATCCAGCTAAGTATCCCCGTCCAACGATCTCTTGACAGCTGTCACCCATTAAAATTGAAAAAGAAAAAAATTAACACATGTCCATTTGGTTTTCTGATTTTGAAGGTGATATAATAGAATGAAACTTTGCTGTTTTGTGGAATGGGAATACTTGATTGGGACAGTTTTTCTTTTTCTTCTTTCCCTTCTCAATATTTGGAAATTGGAATGACAGTTTTTGTTCCATGCCAGCTAAAGGCTTTTCCTTATACAAGAACGCTTGCAGCAGATCATACAATGACAGCTTAACTATAACTATGCATATCACTGTCACGTGTGTGATCTTGATAATATGATGAGGGCGTATGGATGACATTGAAATTTGGACCTGAGAAGACTTATAGTACTACTGTATATATTAATTAAGTTGTAAATCCTAATGGGAGTTTCTGCTGGGTGGATGTACAGTGTCTCAATTTCTAAATGGAAAAAACAATGCCTAAATTGAGAAAACAAATATAAAATCTGATTGCTATGTTATTATTCAGCTGCTCTAGGCATCAAAATAGAATAAGCCCAACAATAATAAACTCAAGAAAATCTCTTATTTGAATAAAGGTAGTTTATTAATTAATATATTGCTTATTAAACATGTATTTGTGGAGTGAAGTCAAACAAGTGATGAGCGGCGTATTAAACCGTTTATGAGAGCTTCTGGAAGGGCTAAAAACGCTTATGACAGTGTTTGGTAGAAAAGTCTAGAAGTGCTTCTGGGTCATAGAATGCTTTTAAAGGAAGCACTTTGATTTTTTTTTTGAAAATTTCAAATTCTTTACAATAAAAGTGCTTTTGTTAGAAGTGTTTATGAGCAGAAGTGCTTCCTTGAGAAGCAGTCCCGAATGAGCCCTATTAACTGGTTAGCACTTTAAAGCTACTAATTGTAGTAAACATATTTCCGACATATCGTCTAAAATAACAACCATACATGTGGTTTAATGTTACCAGCTACTTACTATTATCCATCTAGCTAATATCTAATCATCCATATTACACATTACCTCTAAAACCATGTCATCGAGAGAATCAATCCAACCAATTCCATAATGTAGAGGGGATCATGGCTCTTTATGCTGCCGATGGTTGTGAGGACCATTCTACCCCAAGGCACCAGCTCTTGTGCACGTGGCCTCAAAAAGACCATGAAGTCCCTTTTGATTTGCACCAAGTATTCCTTGAACACAGAATGTGGCGAATTAACTAGTCAAGTACCTTGTAACATTGTGAACAGACTAACCATCAGAATCACAAACAACAATGAATTATCAATTAGCTCGAACACATAGGAGTGAGACTTCGCACTTGTCAATCTAGACGTCCCCTACTTCCTTATCGCATTTTCAGACAAACTTTGGTTCACGTGGCCATGAAAAAGCTTGAGGCTGAGGATTCAAAGTAGAAAATTTTAACTTCTTTATTTTGACTTGTAATTGAAAGAATTGCAACGTATGGGGTAAAGCCTCAATTATCATGAGGGCATATTGTATTGATTTATACAGTATTACAGATAGAGTCCTATATCAAGTATGATAAGAATATAATGTAATCAGATAAGCAAGAGGAATCCCAAGGACAATATAGAGTCCTAAGGACTTAGTTGAAATCAACTTCCTATGCTGAAATGAACTTAGTTGGAATTGTGGCATTGAACTTGATTTGTTAACTACTGCAAGTAGAGAAAAACTTAGTTGAAATGAACTTGTTATACTGCATTTAAATTACTCTAATCTAATGGGTGTGATCCTAATCAACAAAAAAAATTTAATTAACAATCTCGAACATGAACTTTGGCTCACCAGAATCGGCTCTGCCACAGCCCTTATGTCAGTGGCAAATATTGCAGCCCTTGTCTTCTTATCAAGGCCACTGTTAGCTTGCTTTATATAAGAGTCCCAATCATTTTTGAAAACTTGAAGGTTTTGCAAAGTAAATGATCCTTCAGCCTCGATCACCTCTTCTATCTCCTTCGTTGTAGGTGTATAGAATGGCATATTGAATGCGTCCAATTTTTCCTCACCAATCAAACCCTGATAATTCATCAAAATATACATTTCTAAATAGCTAAAAAGGAAATATATTGCAGCCCTACTTGCTAGAATCTAATATTTAATTACCTCTAAAACCATGTCATTGAGTTTCACTCCTACAAATTCCCAAATGCAGAGGGGATCATGACTCTTTATGCTGCCAGTGGTTGTGAGTACCATACTGCCTCCTGGGACAAGCTCTTCTGCACGTGACCTCAAAAAGACTGTGAAGTCCCTTTTGAATTGCTCCAAGTATTGCTTAAACACAACTGGTGGGCTTGTCTTTGCTATATATATGTTCCCCTTGTTAAGTCCCTCTTCTTCTTCAGTCACCAAGCCTTTTGGAACCTACGTACCCACACACACACACACGTTGTTGCATTATAAATTATCAGACACGATTTAAGCAGTAAACAGTATAATTTATTATTATTTTACCAATTGAATAAAGTAACAAAAAATAAAAAAATTCATATATAGAAGACTGGCAAACTTGCAAGATATATAATTTTTCTTTTAAAACCCCTATTTGATTGAGAAAGACTTCTCATGGAGACATTTTTATGTTTGACTGGAGCATCCTGCCATGTGGTGTAACTAATGAGTTATA